AAAGTTATATAGTTATAAGTAAAAAATTTTCTACTATATACCTATAGGTAAAAAGCCTTAATTATTTACACGTTTCACTTTTATATAAATACGTAGCCCTACTCCTATTACCCCCCCCTAAACCATTACTCCACTAGCCAGATACCCCCCCCTAGACCTAGAATACCCCCCCCTAAACAGGATCCCTAACCAAAAGCTAGGGCGCATTTGATAGGCCGTTGCCTGGTAGTATTATCAAAAGGCTCTCTTTTTGGTACCAGCCCAGGCAGGCTACTACTCTTTGTCCAACCAGCGGGCACAAATAAAATAATTATAAAAAAACAAAAAATAAATAAATAAAAGACACTTCTTCTATCTCCAACGGGCGTAGCAAGGGGGTGGCGGTGGCGGCAGGGAGTTTTATCTCTCTAAATTATTCAACAAGGTATCCATACACTCCCAAGGGCCACCCACGACAAGGGGGTAACCCAGCCGAGCCAGCACAGGGGGAGGGGGTGTTTTGATGAAATTGGAAAGCTACATTGTCGGCTCAAAATCACGATACATATTTTCGAGTTCCACGAGCCCTGCCACAGACGAGCACCCCAGGTGTTCAGAATTGTCTGGCCGGTTGGCCCAATGGCAAGGCGTCTGACTACGATTATACCGTGGAATCAGGAGATTGTGGGTTCGACCCCCATGCTGGTCAAAATCTTTTGTGCGTTGTGCTTCACACAGCGCTTTGTCTTTTTGCCGTTGTTGTTCATTGCTTGTATTCATTCTGCTGCATCGTTAAAGCGCAGGCTATTTCCAAGCATCTTAGACGTGTTTATTAGGTTGCATTCTTCTGGTATCTAGAGCATAGATAGATAGGTAACGTATGTGTATAGCGAGTCGCCCACCCCAACAGAATGTCACTGAGGTGAGTGATTCGCTATTAACGCGTATGTTGTCGTAACGAACGCAGCAATGAAAGTGCCCTGGCTCTCTCTCCCTGCAGCACTTGATAGATGTTTTGCTTGAAATGATAAAAAGAACGAGGGCGATGTGACATGGTACAGAATCAACCATTGTCGAGAACATGATTGGATTTTATCAACCGCGAATTTCCTTTCTACTAACTATACTCTTTTCCGAACAGCGCACTGTAGACATTCATGCGATGGAAATCACTCAAACTTAAAGAGCCCAAGACATTAATTACCCATGATTACCGGATGCTATAGGCAGGGGTATCTTTTCGCTAACTCTCCAGACCCCTACCCAAACATCGGGGACGATCCTTGAGGGTCGAAAGCCCAAGAGTGGATGGGAGGGAGGGGGGAGGGCAACTCAGCATTACGGTCCTTGCCCCCCCCGCGGTCAGGTTCTATCATCGGGCGTGACGGGATACCTGTCATCGCCGTAGGTGGAATTCAACGTCACCGAGCCCACGACGTCCCCGGACTCCAACCGGATGCAGGTGTCGAGCTCGCCCCTGGCCAGCATGTCCCGCGTCAGGACGAGCTGCCTCGAGCCGCGGACCCACGTGCCGTACCCGCCGTAGCCGGTGCGCTGCCCGAAGCACAGGTTCACGCCCTTGCCGTCGACCGCGACGTCGCCGACCTTGCCCTTCCACCTGGTGCACCAGCTGTTGCCGTGGTCGTGGCCGCTGAACACGCCAATCATCCCGGGGCTCTCCGAGACCGCCCTCATGAACGCGACGTCCTGGCCGCCGTAGTCGCAGCCGTCCCTCTGGCTGCCGTCGTCGCACCAGCCCTCGGCCTGGTGCGACAGCGGGCTGTCGTCGTTGATCCCCGGGTTCCTCTCCGGGTCGATCCCCTGCGCCTGGATGGCCTTGGAGGCCTTGGGCGGGATGTGCACAAAGGCGACGCCGGGGATGTCCCTGCTGTGCTGCCTGTTGAGGTCCGAGCTCTTGGACCTGAACCAGTCGACCACGCTCTCGTCGACCCAGTTCTGCTGGCCGACCAGGGCCGCGGAGCCGTCGGGCTTGGTCTGCACGTACTGGAAGCCGCCCCTGCTGTCGAAGAACCAGAGAACGACCTCGGGCGCGCAGCCGTCGCCCTTGACGCAGTCCGAGGGGTAGACCGGGAGGTAGTAGTTGGAGACCCCCGAGTTGCTGTCCGAGACCATCCTTTGCGTGCGGGAGTTGGGCCACTGTTTCTCTCTCGCGAGGATGTCGCTCCCCGTCAAGTTGAGCTGGTAGTCGTGGTTGCCGTAGGTGCTGGCCCAGGGAAGGCCGCGGTCGACCATCGGCTTGACCATCTGGTCAAGGACGAACGTGGCGTTTTCCAGATACGCGTTGTCGCCGGTGATGAGGTCGCCGTTCAGAACCACCAGGTCCGGCTTGGCGTCGTCGAGCACCCTGTTGATCACCTTGACCGTCTTGATGTCCGCCGCAGGCCCCCATGCCTCCCAGGCATCTGCAAACATGTCTTGTCAGCATCGGGTCCCATTCAAGTCGGAACCGTCCCCCCCCCCCCCCCCCCCCGCCGAGAAAGTGGCAAAGCTTACTCTCTCCAAAGTGAAGGTCTTCAAAGATGGATATCTTAAAATTGCCGTCGCTGCTGAAGCTCAACGGGCCCGAAGCTTTGTTGCTGCTTTGCCGCCGACACAGTGCCGAAGACTGCTGCTCCGAGAGCCCCGTCAAGGAGACTGCGAGAATGCAAAATCTGGCTACAACCCCGGCTGCCATTTTCGATGTCGAAGCGCTGTGGAGCGTGCTGCAGATCCGGCGCGTAGCACTTGGCCACTTTTCCTCAAGCACCGCGCAGTTATATACGAAGCCATCATCTGGAGTTCTGTCAGTGGCTCGGCTGATGCGCGTTGTGACATCGTTTCATGACCGCGTCCAAGAGACGACTGCAGAACACAACGGACGTGCATTTTCACGCAGAGAGGATAGGAGCATGGAGGATCCCACACATCATCCCGCTTTATGGATACAATACGGACAGACAGCCGACGCAAACCGCGGATACATCATCAATCTCAACGTCGACGGGGGGCTGTGCAGCACGAGAAGCTAGCTGTTTGGCGGCGGCCATGGCATCCCTTACGCACCGCCAACTCCCTGTCAAGACGCACGCTGGGCCAGAAGGCCAGAATCATCTGTGCAGAGATCACGGGCCTTGCTCTGTCACTCTTGCAGCATTTGATGGTTGCGCTTGGATAGAGACTCGTATTGCTTCTCTTCGTAGTAGTTAGTTGCTCACTGATGAAGTTGAGATCAAGAAGGAAGTGCGTGCAGCAATCGAATATTGCGTGACGTACATGTATCGAACCCGGCTGGCTTCCTCACAAATCTTCGGATACTGACTGCCATTTTCAAGTGTCGCCATGGATTTACTCCTGTAGGTTTGAAGACGCTTGTTGCAAAACAACAATAGTCTGGCTTCTTACTTTCTTTTCCAAGTTCACGACCGTGAATCCCGGGCTGAGAACAAGATTTGTGTGAGGAGCATGAGGAAACATGGCCCTTCGATGTGGAAAACCGTCATGAAAAGTCTTGCTCTGGCTGTTCATATCACGTTGGAGCTTTGCTGTTACGCTTCCCTGCTTCGGCTGGAACTAAACTGGCCTGATGGCTGCTCCAACATCGACGCAGAAACCGATTGCCGTGAGTCTTGATTAGGCTCTCAGACGACGCCCACCCATCTGTGCCGAGGACTAATCCTTGCGGCATCAGGTCACCTCTCCACATGAGGTCATACTGAGCTCAACATAAGTTATAACCTCAAGGGCTTTTTATTCTTGCTCGGTATTACAACATCTATTTTACTTTCAGCTTGAAAGACAGAAAATATGAAAAAGATTTCGGACATGTTTCTGCTGTACTTTGTTTCCGAGTCTTTCTGACCCAATGGACTAACAGAAACTCAATGGCCTATCGTGTTGATACATCACACTTTTTGTCAACAACACTCATTCCACAATGTTTCTATCAATCAGACATGCCACTTTTGAAATAGGTAATCTTGCTGATGAATCCGTAGAGCTGAGGCTGGGGAAAGGAGCCAGCCAGCCTCTTGCATCACCTGATCAACCTAGTGCTTATGCCCAATGCTGACACAGCCCGATATAATAAGCAATCTCGTGTCCCATGCCGTCCATCGACAGTCCTGCTCCGAACATCCCGGAGAAAGGCAAAGACGGAGAAAGGATGCGCTTCTCGTCCTACACCAAAGCAGGAGGCATCTTCGCCTTCATGGCACGGGCGACCCCGACGGCGTCGGGGGAGTCGGGCCCCGTCGAGAAGCGCACGGCGCAAGAGGTCATTGACAAGCTCGGCCTGGTCCCGAACGAAGAGAAGGGATACTTCGTAGAGACCTTCAGAGACCCCGAGGCGAGCGGCAACCGGTCCCTCAGCACGGCTATATACTACCTCCTGGAAGGCTCCGCCGGCCCCTCGGTTTGGCACCGCGTCGACGCCGCCGAGGTGTGGCATTACTACGCGGGTGCGCCCCTCACCCTCTCCCTATCCTACGACGACGGCGAGCCGCCGGAGAACGCCGTGCTCGGGCCCGACGTTTTCCAAGACCAGCGGCCGCAGATCGTGGTCGCAAGGGATCGGTGGCAGAGGGCGCAAAGCCATGGGGCGTGGACTCTGGTCGGGACTACCGGTGAGAACATGGCGTCGCGTGTTTTTTTTCTTCTTTTTTTCAACGTTATACGGAAGAGACTGATTGAGATTTTTTGCAGTTGCGCCTGGGTTTGTACCGGAGGGCGTCGAGCTGGCAGACCCAGATTGGATGCCAAACGGAGCACGAAGTTGAGCTTTCGCAGTGCTTGTCTCTCCGTACAGATGCTGCATATACGAGCTACCTGGGGGGGGGGGGGAGTGGTTTATTTGCAGGGGTCTGCGGCAAGGAACCGTTTTAGAGTCGGCCAGAGCGAGGTGAGCTCGGCATTCGTGCGAGACGAGAACCGGCAGATACGATGGGCGCCCGCAGCATGTGACTGAACGAAGGAACATGCTAAGGGGTTTATTTTTTTCTTTTCTTTCTTTCGCCCATAAGGTCTTCTGAATGCTGTTTTGGTAGATTTGGTAATCCATTCAACATAGACTTACTGTTTTTTGAAGCTGCGGCGAGTCTTTTCAAGGATCATAGACACCGTCCAAAATACCCGGCGCAAGCGTTGTATGTCTAAAGCCGAACAAGAGCAATCCCAACAAACAAAATTCATAATCTACTCGACGCTCAGGCTTTCGGACTTCGACTTCGTCATAGTCTCGATGGGGAAAATATGGTATGGGCAGTTCTGTAACTGGGCATCGCGCGCATTGGGGTCGGGATAAGCGGCAGTTGACTCGGAACATACCGCGACTCATGAACTATGGAAAACTAGCTATATGTATGACCACCGAGAACAGGCACCTAGGAGGCGCCAGTGTTACATGTCCTGATTAGGGGAAGTTAAGTGATGCATGGCCACTCATGTCACTGTTTTGGATTGAGTGGTTCGAATCGGACCAACTCCCTAATCAACGAAGTATTATTAGTGAGTGGCGCCGTGGTCGATTTGTCTCGTCATGCACATCTCGCTCGGTCAGCTGCTCAAAATATTTCATTCTTGGTATTGAATAAACAATAGGGTATTCTAGGTGTTATTATTTCGTCCCGTTCATATCATAACTCGTCCCACGGCCGCCCGGCCCGGGCGGCCCATTACCTCCCGCGCATCCACCTGAATAGATCACCCTTTATC